ATTACAAAACAACTAATAAATGCCAGTGATATTAATGTCTTATTAATCTGTCACAGAGATTCATGACATAATGGCAAGATTTAAGCTTCATGTTAAACAATCATTTAACCTTACCATAACTGGCTGGATTTACACATTTAATCATAAACTATGGCATGGACACAATAGCAGATTTATACAGGGTACAGAGCCAAACCCAGACAAGCCACATTATGGCTTTAAAAATCAAAACAGAGCTAAATTCAAGAGGCAAGAGTCCACTGTTTGTTGAATAAGCCATAGAGGTCTAACACATATATAGCCAAGTCATAATTGATGGGTCCATAAACAGACAAAGTTCACATTATGGTTTTGTATCATGAATGCACCAAAATACTCTTAACATAACAGCATAATGCAATATTAATGATGCTTAACATGAAAGTATTTTTAACATATGCTTAACATGATGGCTCTTACATCTAACTCACTAAAATTAATTTATTTCAAAAGATTAATTAGTTTAATTATGTTATTTATTTTAATAAGACAATGACATACAACATTTTAGCTAAGGCAAGATGATAAGTCTTGGAAGAAAAACTGACTGATTTCTCAACTGCAGTAGTCCTGTTCTTGGTATTAAAAACAGAAGCAACCATTGGCAGTAGTCTGTACTTTTAGATGAAAGATACATAACCTGATGCCTTCCAGATGCTATGGTTGAATTTCCATTAGTCTTAGCCAATAGCAACTGATTGTAGGAACTTTTGTGGAAAACAGGTGGAGGGCATCAGATTATAAATATCGCAGCTCAAAGCTAATCAATGATGTAAACTTTCTTGAAATAAGACAGACATCTATCATCACTGGCATTTCAATCATGTTCTTGTGCAATAGAATTCCAAAAACTTGGTTTATAAACTTAAAATAAGTAAAATAATTATATCAGGTGAGTTTAACTCAGCAATGTGGAAGCTATGTGGATACACATCTCCTATCTCCCTCTCATGTAACTGTTATGCGAATTAATACTAATTTTGAATTTGAAGTTAAAATATAATTAATTAGGTACTGCTAATAGGAATACTCCCTATTTGTCACACTGAACATTACAATCTGGCAACAACTTTTACAACTGGAGGTGATGGGTAAAATAAGGCTATCAGATAGCCTTCTGGGAACTTTAGGACAAGGGTGTGAGATCCAAGAAATGTGAGACCCCAAGAGAAAACATCTAAAAGCAAAATGAAGGAATTTTTCAAAATGGAATTTCTCTGGCTAAAACTACTTGCCATACCAGTCCTAAGGAGGAAATGCATAGAAGCCTTGAAGGAGGGGCATGGCGAGCTATAATGTAACAGGAAAATGAGAGTCCAAAAGGATTTATTTATATAAGCACAAACTCTGCTTGCAAGCCTATTGGCAGATGGAGAAGAGCATTTCAGTCCTTGTGCAAAGGGGATGCAAAGTTTTGCACCTGAATAAACAATTTTCTGCATGACAAACTGCATGCTGCTATCATTTGAGTTCAGGGTCCATTGTGGTGGTGGCAAGAAGATACAACCAAACCTTATGATCCTCCTGTTTTCTCAACTCAAATATGCATTTTCCTGAGTCTGTGAGAGAGCAATTTGAGCCCTGAAAAAGATGCAGTGCTGTGCTCTTGCAAGATCTGAAGTACTGTTGACAGCTGCAGAACTGAATCCTTCACACCTCGAGACAGAATATGAGCTTCTTCCAAAATACAAAATGCCAGCAAACACATGCTACAAGCAATGTCCAGATCATCCTTGCTGGTCTGAAAAGTTAAGGATTACTTCTTTGGTTCTTTGCAGTTAAAATAAATTAATCCAACCTTTGCCTTAGTTTGTTGTCTCCTACTTGACTGAAGGAATGAGCTATGAAACAGGGTTATTTTTACCACCTGCAGAAGCTAAAAAAAGACTGCTGTTCTGGGTCTTCTTTTGCCACAAAAGATGCTAACTTCCACATGCAAAATCTAACAGGATGCATTAATCTCTTTTAATAGCCTGTGTGAAATCTTTGGTTTTGTTTCCTCACTAAATGTTTCATAACTCTGTGGGAAAGAGAGAGGATCTTCCTGAAACAAAACAGCAGCGATATTTTAATCTTCCAGGTTAAATAAAGTAAGTTGTTAGAGTTATAAAAATAAAATACCAATTTGAGGAAGGCAAGGGCTGGAATCAAATAAAACTGAGCAAAATTTAATAGGTTTCATCTCTGAACATACTCTAGGTCAGGCATGTCAAAATCAAGGCCCATAGGCCAGATTCAGCCTCTTATGGGTTTAGATCTAGCCTGCGGAGTCACCCTGGAGACTGTGAGGGGCGGGCCCTCACCGTCTCAGCCCTGCCCCACCCCTTGGGCATGCACAAAGGAGGCAGCGAGCACACAGGGGCTGGCAGTGCCCAGCAGCAGCTGCAGCTCCTTGGCCTCTCAGCCACTCCTTGGCCAGCTGCAATGGCCTGCTGGATGTGAGCCTGGGATATGCAATAAGCAGCACTTGGCCCTGCCCCCCTTGCACTGCACCTCGGGGTCCCGCTGCCAGGCCTGCCCCACCACCGCAAGGCTCCTCTGGTGGACGAGTCTTTGGTGCTTACCTTGATCTTGCCTTCCTCCACTAAAGACTTCAGCTGCACCAAGTGAGCGACGTCGAGCCAGCCACGCCAAGCTGGCCACGCCCACTCAGCCATGCCCACTTGGCCCTTTGAGGGCAACCATAATGCTGATGCGGGCTTCAATGAAATTGAGTTTGACACCCCTGCTCTAGCTTCTAACTAAACATCAGATATAATATCTATTATGACTTTCACATTTAAATATTTTTTTAAAAAATATGCCAGTGGTGGCGAACCTATGGCATGCATGCCAGAGGTGGCACCTGGAGCCTTCTCTTTGGGCATGTGTGCCGTTGCCCCAGCCCCACCTACCCCCACGGCCCCCTCTTCACCAGCAACCCCCTTGGAGGAGAGTCGCCCCCGGGTGCACCCGCACGGAGCAGTGCAGCCAAGGACATAGCTGAGCAGCAGGGCCAAGACTCCACCCTTGTGCCCCATAGCATGCAGATGATGCTGCGGGGTATGGGCGGAGGCATGGCTGCCATGGCGCCATGGCGCTGCAGGGCTGCCATGGCGATCTGCTGCAGGCCATGGAGGCGGTGCGTGACCCTGCAGGTGGGCAGGGAAGGGGGTGGAGCAGGCAGGGTGGGAGGCGGAGTGGGGGTGGGAGGCTATTTTGGGGCACTCGGTCTCTAAAAGGTTCGCCCTCACTGAAATATGCTATTCTTAATTCTTATAAAGCAGGACAAGAACAAGGACTCTATAATTTTATTAGCTTTAGTTCCTTCCTTGAAGCTCAAAATGAAGAAGTCTGTTTTTCCTGAAAAATCATAGAGGTCCTTGGAATTTATCCGGTGCTGTCATTTCTTGCTGTATTCTCCCATCAGATATCCTACAATTGCTATTCTAATCTAATTTCTTTTTTCCACTGAGAGTATGAATACACTTAAAGTGGGGGGGGATGGTGAGCAAAATGCTCAAGGGAAGTATTTCCATTGCTTGAATTCCTTAAGCCTTACCTTTTAAAAGTGAGATTGTAAATCTTTTGCTTCCTAAGGTTCCAGGAAGTAAGTAATGTTGAAGGAACTAAAATATTAATAGAATCGGGGAGGCTGGGAACAAGATGAAATCAAGTTCAGCAATTTGTCAGAGGATGGCTTTTGACTGAGAGGATTCCATGGTACTGTAAAACCAATGCTAGTTTTTTGTATATCTCACTTGTTTCCTTGCCAGTATTTGGCAGAAAGCTATACTAATGCCAGGCACAAAAGACCAGGTTCACACATGATTTATTGCTATAGTCTTTGCACAAAAATCTTCTTAACTCACGGTCAGACCCTGCTTAGAGTTAGAATAAGGGTCAACAGCACTCAAGGAGAGTTGGACTTAGTCTGCTTGTAGCTACTGTATGTGGGGATTCTAGGCTGAGTCCTCTTTTAATTTTGCCCCAGGTTCTGCCACTCCTTCTCCCACATCAATTAATATAAAGCAGTTTGCCACTCAATTTCAGCAAAATGATTTGGGTTGTTTATGCCATCTCATCTTCCACAAAACTTGCAAGTCTCATGCTGGTTAAATATTAATACATCACAGCATGGAAAGATGGGCACATTCTGATTCAATCAAACAAATAAATCTCAGCTGACAAAAATATTGCATTCCTTTTAACCTAGAATGAATTCCTGATTTTAAAAGAGTTAAAGTTTTCTTAACAATTTTTGTTTTTTATTCCATAGCAGAATGGGCATTTAAAATAAACAAAACTGATTATTGACATTAATATCATTAAAATCAGGGAGTATTTTAAATGTTTTTTCTTCCCTTTCTCTACCTTTCACTGTCCTTTCAATCCAAATACTTTCAGGCAGTTCAAATTTCAAAGCAGTTGAAAAAATTGTTCATTGGATAGTTTGACCAGAACTGGCATAGCAAGAATCTACTTCCTTAACCTGACTAGTCTTAAATTTACTGCTTGGTAAATCTCTATGCAAGTCCACCAAAGATCCAGTATTTTTACAATATTACAGACCTTTAATGGCTTCTTTCATGTTTTTAAAAATGTTCTGTTTCTTTTGTTAGCATGATCCTGTCAATTATATACATAAATTCTAACTGAACTTTACCCAGCAATGCTTAACAAGGTATATTCACAATTTGCTTGTTTAATTTCATTAATACACTCATAAAATAACAATGCAGATAAACAAATGTATCTTTCCTTCAATAGTGGAAAATAATGTTGACAGTTCTTAGTCATCAGTATTTAAGTAAACATTAATAGTTTAAAAATTACTTGTTTGTTTAGAGCAGGAAAGATATAAATGAACACCTGTATTTATATGCAATCATCCTCAAATGACACCAAAAAAGGGAAAAAAGATTGCATGGGAAATGTCATAACCTTGCATAGACAACAAAATAATAATTTGAGTTACTCACACAAGACTCGAATGCACATCTTTTCAATATGAGACCTTTTGTCCATGCCTTTATACTCCTACGGCAAATCCATCCATCCTTTTTATCATCCCCTTCACCATTTTCTCTTGTCTAGATAACAACCGAAAGTTTGCAAAGATGGATAAAATCTCAATCTTGTATTAGCATCAGTTATACAAACAAAGGTCATACACAACAGCCAACTGAACTGCAAAAATCTGAAAAGAGGATAGGGACAGGATTTCTATAGAGAGAGATCCTGACCCTCTTTTTCTTCCTTTGACTTGAGGGATTATTTGAAACTCTCTGGAATGCAGGAGGAGTCTGTTCCTTTTCTCCTTTTCTCAGGAGAAGAACAGCTTACTTGGCTTATTACCCTCCCTCCTTTCAGGTCAAGGGGGAAAGTAAGCATCTCCTCTTGTGCAGCCAATTGGCTGCCTTCAGTCCTCAGAGACTTGGCTTCATAAGCTTCCACAGCTGCAGCTGAAATACAGGGAATTTTGGCAAGACATATTTTCTTCTTCAAATGTAATTCTCAAGCCATCAAATATGGCATGACCATAAAACTAGAAAGGGAAATGAACTGTCAGAGAAGTTTTGAGGGAAAATTCATCTGAAAAGAATGAACGATAAAGACTGGACCTACTTTCACCAGCATACCAAATGCTCTTTACTTAAATCAGTCCCAATCAATATAATGACCAAAGAACCCACAGAGACTGGCTATCTGTATCCAAGATCAGATGGACTATGTCTGCTACCACAGGCTGAGATATCGTCAATATGCTGATGATACACAGGTATATGTCTCAACCCATGGTGATTTAAGTGATGTCACAACCTCCCTCTTGCAGTGCCTGGATGCTGTTAGGCTATTAAGGGCTGGATGAGGAGCAACGGGCTGAAACTGAACCCTGGCAAGATGGAATGACTCTGGGTTTGGGGCTCTTTATCCATGGACAATTGCCATCTCTGGTCTTGGATGGGGTGACACTTTCCTAGACAGACCTGGTGTGTAATCTGGATGTTCTCCTGGACTCATGACTCCTTATAACCATTGCAGCATCTCCATGTTCATGTGATCAAAATTTGGCCACTTGGCAACTGACATGTATTAATGACTGTTGAAATGTCTTGGGATCACCTTTTTCAATCTTATGACAAGCAAAGTCAATGGAGAAGCCAGATTCATTTAACAACTGTGTTACTAAACTGCAGTGATTCACTTAATAACTGTGGCAAGAAAGATTGTAAAATGGATCAAAACTCATTTAATAACTGTCTCACTTACCTTTGGGCTCATTTATGGTTGCAAGTCGGGGACTATCTGTGTGTGTGTGTGTGTGTGTGTGTGTGTGTGTGTGTGTGTGTGTGTGTGTATATATATATATATATATATATATATATATATATATATATATATATCTTTAATAATTTTGAATATAGGAATCCTAGGTATGGACGTTTAAAGTCAATCAAATAAAAATAAAGAGCTCTGGGATGTAAGATAAAAGGCTTTTTTTTATTAATTGCTGAGCTTTTGTTAACAACCTGTTAACATCATCAGAGCAAAGGGCTAAATTTAGCCCTCGAAGCACGAAGCTGAAAACACCAGCCTGAAGATGACGAATGGGACTTCGTCGAAATGTCGCCAAGACACTTCCAATTTTACGCGGGAGAAAACCCGAATAACCAAAGACCTACCTACAAAACAAATATATATATGTATATGTGTGTGTGTGTGTGATATATATATATATATATATTCAATGATGTAATCTTCGATCTCCGGGAAGAGTATACTCCAGTTATTTATTGTTAAAACAACATTTAAAAACAATAAAAACAGTTATATACAAGGTTAAAACAACTTAGCTTTCGCTGGTCCTCTGCCAGCGTCCTCAGAGTGGGGCTTAGGGGGTGGGAAAGTTCTTTTTATCCCCTCTCTTTCAAAATTAAAAATGTAGCCTACTGTAACTGTGGATATTCCAGTTCTGGTTCTGTGATTTTTTTGGTTTATGTTCTTTTCCATTTATTGTTTTAAGAGACAATTCTATCAATGTTTGCAGTAATTATTTACATTCTGCTAAAAAGGATTTCATCATGGAGATGGTCTGTGCCCAAGTGTAGGCTAGGCTATTTAGCTTCTGTTGTTTGCTAAATATGTCTGTTAAGATTAGTAATCCTAATCGTAATAATTCATTAGAATTTTCAATCGTTAATCTTCCAGTTGGAGAGTCATTTTTATTCTCAGTCTCCTTACATCACAGCATAGTCCAGTTCTTCTCTATGAAAGTGTCATTTGTTATCAATACGTAAGATTGTTGATCCATGAGGGCAAATTCTTTAACTAGGTTTCCTCCACTTTCAACCAGCTCTGTCGAAAATATACAGTAGTGCCCTAATGAACAGTCATGGAATGGCTTCACACTGTAGGGCCTCGTTTGGGGCAATTGAGCCACTGCTTAAACAAAAATTGTGATGTCCTAATCCTAGCCGAGGATAGCCACTTCTTGTGAGGGCCATTTTGAGTATTTAAATAATAACAACAATTCTCCCCCTTGTTATCAATCATTCTTCTATCCTTCTTCCATAAGTGCTCTCAGCTTTACTAGCAGGCTGCCATTAGAGAAGTTAAGTAAGTTTTGGGAGATAAGAGGCTTAGAGTTCTATCTTTAGTTTACATTGTTTGTTATCAGAATATCACACTTCTACAATAACCTAGCTTTTGGCAGTCAAACCACAGCTGATACTGAATGCTTCCCTTTTTTTTACTTATCCAATGTTTATGGTATAAAATTTTAAAACATCAGATGGTGCTTACCTATGTACAGCCTCCTGTGCCACCATCTCATAGGATAGTGGTGGTAAACCTATGGCACGTGTGCCAGAGGCGGCACTCAGAGCCCTCTCTGTGGGCACCTGTGCCATCGCCCCAGCCCTGCCTCCTCCCGCGGGCCACTCCTCAGCCCGTGCAGAGCAGCGCAGCCAAGGACATGGCAGACGGGCAGAGGGGACAAGACTGTCCTCGCGCCCTGTCACGCGCAGATGATGCTGTGGGGTGCAGGCGGAGGGCGTGGCCACCATGGCGCTGCAGGGTTGCCTGGGCAATCTGCTGTGGGCCATGGAGGCGGTGGGTGGTCCTGTGAGTGGGGGGGGCTGGGTAGGAGCGGGGTGGGGCAGAGTGGGCAGGCCAGGGGCAGGCCAGGGGGCGGGGTGGTTTTTGGGCACTCAGTCTCTAAAAGGTTCGCCATCATTGTCATAGGATGTCCTTCCTGTGATACCGTTTGTGGACCTATAGTGCAGGAACATAATTTCAGATTAATGGAAGGATTTGTCTCCCAGTTTACATCTTGAAAAAATGATCACATGGAAAGACCAACATGTTGCTCTATGCATTGTGAAGTTTTATCAGAGGTTCATTAATAAGATTAAGTAAGATAGTAGCCTTATTACCATATATCAGAATGAATGATCATGGGAGGAGGAAGTTCAAGCACGTGTAGGAGAAGAGAAGATAGAATTAAATGTGTCATCTGCTTGGAGTCATTGCATTACCACAAAAGACCCAAGTCCAGCCCCTCCTGGATTCTATTGATCCTTATCTAGCGCCAATTTAGCTTTGACCATTAGTTCACTAGATTCTTTCATTAGAGATAGCAATAATACACTCTTCTGTGGTTTGAACTCAATAAATGCTCCTGGTTATTTGCACCTGACATAATACCTCTACTTATTAAATCTATACTTCATATTCTAGGGAAAAAATAATCAGGTACTGACAGATTTTTTTAAAAAAACTTTTCTCAGTTACTGAATGCCCCTGAGGAACAAGACAGTGATGATTTTCATGGCTTTCCTAGGCTTTTTTATTGTTATAAAACAGAACAGTCTACAATGGATTCTAGTCTGAGCAAAAGAAACACTCAAACCAAACCTGAAAAACTGCCCAATCTGCCAGGATGGTTTTAGAAAAGTATATCCCAAAAGTAAATACTGGAAGAGCAGCCTGTGTCTTTTTTCTTAATATATAGAGTAAAATATACAAAAAGCACCAGATGGGATCTATTAAAGCTAAATCTTAACAACACATTTATCTGAGCAATATAGAAACAAACATCACATTCTCTATAGACTTGTAAAAGTAAAGCTTAATGTAAACAACAAACAAAAAGACTGCAACTGAATAGTCTGAACTATCTTTCAAATGTCACCATCTGATTTTTGAAAGAAAATCTTTCTCCAATTCCAGCTGGACTCGGTGGCAGTTCAGAAAGGAAGTCTTGAGAAAGACAGAAATATATAACATCAGAGCAGAAATTATTTTATTCACATATTTACAGGCCAGGGAGAAAAGGAAATCTCTGATGCAGCTGTAAACTCACAAAGTATACATTAACATTATTTCAGGTTTCATCAGAAGGAAGGGAGAAAAAGGACATACTTTGAAGCAGATAAGCACAATCCATGGGCATAAAGCTATGTCAAAGCTGGTACTGAATTTTAATAACTCCATAAACAGAACATGTTAAGCCACAATACAGTTTGATGTATTATATACAATATTTTCTCTGTTACAAGATAGCCAGTTTGGTGTAGTGGCAAAGACAGGGAACCAGAAAATGGAAGATTGTGAGTTCTAGTCCTATCTTAGACGCAAAGCCAGCTAGCTGGGTGACCCTAAGCCAGTCACTTCTGAAGGAAACCATTTCTGAAAATCATACCAGGAACTCTTTAGGAACCTGTCTAAGCCAGGGGTGTCAAACTCAATTTCATTGAGGGCCTCATTAGCATTGCGGTTGCCCTCGGGGGGCCGGGTGGGTGTGGCCAGGGTGGGTGCACTCTACTGGATGGGTGTGGATGGAGTGGGTATGGCTTACTGGGTGGGCATAGCCAGCTCTACATCGTTCGCATCAAGGGTGCCTGTGGGGGTCTGGGCAGGAGTGGACAGATCTGAGAGTCTTTGGCAGAAGGGGTGGGACCGGGGCAAGCGCCAAGGCATGGTCCATTTCTTCATTCCTCACAAAGGGTGACACTTCCCCAGCATGCACCCAGGGGGCGGAGCCGACACGGCAGGGACTGGTTCCTTGCTGTTTCTAGACGGCTTTGTG